CGGCAGAACCAGGCTCAGGGAGGGGCGGGGCCATCTGCTGCAGCCTTTCTCAGTGGTCTTCTGCAGCCAGTGATCCATCAATGGCAATCAGCAGAATGACATTTAAGACAAGCTCAGCCCTTCACTCTGTTGTCAGCTACCTCACGGTGGTACCCAGGCTTTCATGCTAGTTGTTGTTCATGTTTTTTGCCTCATGCTTACTTTTGTCTCTTTGTGCCTCAGTTCTCTTGCCAAAGACTCTGATTCAACTCACCTGCAGTACAATCACCTAGATGCTGGTCGCTGCTGTCAAAACTCACCAAGTCAGCCTGCAAACTCACCGCTCTCACATGCCTATGGCTGTGCCCTCCGCTGGATCACTGGAAATATAAGGTCGGAACCTTTCCTTTACACACCCTGCTATTCAGCCAGATGCTCACCCAGCTACTTTCACTAAAATCTTTATTATTCTCTCCACTGAGTCTGCTTTTAGCTCCACTTTAACATACTGGACACATAGTGTAAAGAGATTTATTTATTGTGTAATGACAGTTTTCCCTTGATATTAATAACAAACTGTGTATGCAGCATATCATAATCATAAAACAGGCATGCTCTGTGATTAGTCCATGTAAACCAGGGGTCTCAAACGTGCGGAGTGGGGGCCACTTGTGGCCCACATCACCTTTAATTGGCCTGAAGAAGTATGATGCAATTTGGCACATGAGGTTAAATAACTATTTTTGCTTTTTAAATAAAACTATAAAAAATTTTTTAGAAAAGCAAGCAAAACACCACATTTTCAAAAAGTTTGGCAGGTGTTTTCTTGTTTGTTTAGGTTTTTTTGTATTACTTAGACATTAAGTGGTAATCCAATGAGTGCCAGCAGTGGCCCACAGCTCAAGTTTGAGACCCCTGATTTAAAAAGATTGTTGCCTCTAATTTGTACCTGTGGATGATTTCTTAGGAAAAGTTCAAGGTAGAGTAGTAAACTTTTTTTGGGTCATTTTCCAGGTGATATATTCATCTCTGTAATTATTCCTCTGCCTGACTTTCTGGATGTTTGGATGCTAGTCTTTTCTTTTCATTTCTTTTCGTGCTTGTCATGCTGTCAAACTCAGTGCTGACATCATTGGATGATCATGCCGGCCTTCTCTGAGCCAATCAGCATCCATTTTGTGTGCTATAAATCTTAGTGGTGTTCTGTTGTTCTGCCTTTCAGACTCCTTTGTTTACAATTTTAATGGACTCTATGTATAAGTTGAAATAAAAAGTGTAGTTTATTACATATAAAACATTCCCTACAATGCAATGTAAAAAATAATTAACAAAACAATAACAGACTGCCATTACAACAGCACAGCTTTCTGAAACTTGTGACTGGAAATCTGACGCCTGACTTCTCAGTTTATATGTTGTGCAACAACATCATAATCTGGTGACACATCCGCTTTTTGCAGTGACATGTAGGTTCTCTCCTCCTGATGTAGGTTCACCTTTTTTCTTGAATTCCTTTGATGAGAAGAAACAGAACCTCATTATTGTCTAAAAGTCTTGACTGCATTCAAAGAGTCAAACAAAAACATAAACATACATGTGGAGAAACATACCAGAGGAACCATATGTAGGTTATGCAGAAGGCATTCAAAGTGAGAGATACACCAGCAACAATCCAGGGAAGAAGTGTACTGTAAGAACCACAATGTTTCACACAAGCTGCTGTAAGACAGAAGAGAACACATGCAAACACACATACACACCAAACACACAAAGATAGATATAATAAAAATGTATATGATTATATATTGATATATATAAATTATGTTTCCTGGAGCCACAGCTGAGAAGCTAAACATCTCCCTGCAGGTTGCCAACATCTGTTCTAAATTTATAATGTTGTATAGCTACTGTAGATATCTCTGTCACGCTGACTCATGCGTAGTGTGCACAATGTTGTTGTGATATTTTGTTTATTGTAAATGTTTCCTTTGATTTACACAGTTTGGATCTTTGAAAATTCTGAAAACACATGATCAGAAATATAAACAACGTAATAACCAAGGTAAAATATGATTTTTAGTGAAAATATTAACTTCACATTCAACACTGGTACGATGTACTGTCACATTCTGGATCACAAGTGTAGCTGAGACAGTGTTTTGCCCTCATTAACACTTATATTCCCATTGAGCTAAAGTTTCCGTTTATCTGTGACACACATTCGGTTTATTAAGGAGGAAAAATATCTCAAATAC